GTGTCTAACTGTTCTTACTCAATCATATGGCAAATCAAATTCCTTGTTTAGGTTGTTATTGATGAAATTTATTTTTGTGAAATGGGGAAAACTTTCTTTAATGAAAACATAATTCATGCGTTCGTCAAAAACTTTTTCATGTTAGTTAAAAAAAACCTGCAGAATTTTTGTATAAAAAAAAACAAAAAAAAAAACATTGGTTATTAGCTGAAATATTCAACCTCAACTGCCACAACACCACATTATATACTCTTCTGGCATCGTAAGCCGACATAATAAAATTAAACGAAAGGTATTAATTTTGAAGTGAATATCGTACTGATAGGGAAAATTTAAAATAATATTGTAATTCGGTGCTGTTTCGTTTTTCATTGTATCGTATTCCGTTGCTATGATTAGTATAACCGGTACCGGTGTTGTAACAAAGTTAATCTGTATTTGTTGAATTTTATTTTATGTATGTATTTATTGCGTTTTACTAAATAGTTATCTTTAATTTTATGATAATAATAAATTGAAATGTGAAATTATATTACCACTAATTTTTTAATCTAATATTTGAACATTAAAGGAAAAAAAAAAGGAATGAATTTTAAGCGAAAGCAACTTGAAAGCAAGTAAGTTTGTTTAAAATTTTTGGCTAAACGGAACCTATTTTGGTTTTCACTCATCTAAGTGATTTTTCGAAGTTATTCCTTTATTTTTGTTGTAAAAACTGTTTTAATATTCTATGTTCAGTTTTATTTATAACTGTAGTTTATTTTATTTAAAAGGGTTTATCATTCTAATTTTATAAATTGGAAAAATATTTTTATGTTACTGTTTTAGCTCCCAAACAACTTTAGTCATTTGTATCTTTATCGTGGAAAAGCAAAAAGTAAAGAATTTCAAACCCCCCAAATGGTCACGTTTGCTCAACACCAAAAATAAAAAAAATAAATCCCCTGCTATTATTTTATTTTAATTTTAAATATACACACAAAAGTTTACTTTTTTTTACCAATAGCTTGGCGGTAGGTACGTAGTTAGACGTGGATATATTTTCCAAGGGCATTAGGACGAACTGAATGAACACAAAATTTGATCGGAATTTGTGCTTTTTTTTAACTTAAGTGTCCACAACTGCGATAATGATAAATAAATGTATTCATTAGAGGCTGAACGTGAAACTTTAAGATTTATCAGAAACCCACATAGTTGTCTGAAGGAGTAAGTTTTGTTTGTAGCAATAGTGATTGTTTATTGCGACCGACATGAACACACTGCAAATCAGTGTGATTTCTCATTTTAAGCAACTTTGTAAACAACTCTTCAGTTCTCTCCAAACCTCCCTTTTCTGTGTTAGTGTTGCTCTTAGTAACTCACAAACAAAAATGCTACGCTTCTTCAAAGATTTTATTGTGGAATGAATGATAGAATTTTATCGATAATTCTTTGAATGTCGTCGTTCAATGTGTTTGGACCAAACACATTGAACCAAACAGTTTGGTTGTTCGAGGTGTTGATCTTATTTTTAAAATTAATAAAAAAATTTTCTCTGTTACTTTCAGTTTCAGTCTTATGCAAGCATATTCCTTCTCACTTTTTGTCCTATTGATATTCTGTCTGAGATTTTCCAATGTCGATAGATGTTGTTTCTATCATTATTTGCTATTATTGCTACTGATGACAAAGTTTCCATATTTATTCTCCTTCCAAAGCTCCGAAAAAGTTCTTTTTTGATTTTTGTTTCCTGGAGATAAACATAATCGATCAATCAATCAATGTTAATAACTATCAACCTCCCGGGCCAATAATTCTTGCTTTTTTTTTTTTTTTCATAAGTCTTTAAAAAATGAAATTTCCAGATGGATAACTTTAACTTTATACGCGATTGGAGGTACAAAGTTTTACGTTGTCAACTTTTATCGGTTGACAATCAGAGAAGTAAGTCGTTACTTTTTCCCCGCCAACAAATGACCAATAACTGATTTATTTACTTTCCTTCCTTTCTTTCTTTATTCATTTATTTTTGCGGAGGATGCTTTATCCTCAAGTCAACTCTTGTAAGACACACAATAAAAGAAAATAATAATAATAATAATAAGCGTACTAAAAATAATCAGTTGAGTATGGCAAAAGAAAATTCAAAAAAATTTTCAGCTCACTTTTTAAAAAAATTTCCTTTTAACTATTTTACAAAAAAAAACACTAATCAAGGTAAAAGTTTTGTAACGAGTGAATGTGAATATCATAGCAGAAATTATTGAAAAAAAATTAATTCGGAGATTGTTGGTGAAACATAGTTTCTTGTTAGAATTTTCCTTTTTCTTTATTGACTGACAAACGAATCAGATTTGAATTTTCCTCGTTTACTGAGTAAGAATGTTAGACAACAGTTACGTCCCCTTATTGAATCCTAAAAAATGTATTTTCCAAAAAGCCATAAAAATAATGAAAATTGCTAGACTTAATAATAGTAATACATTTCTTAATCGAAATGAAACAGTTTTCATTATATCTGAGTAAACATTTTTTTTTATTACATAAGCATTAATGTATATACGTATTCTACTCGTAATTTTCTTTCAAACAAGTTAAAAAAACAAGACTTATAAATCTTTTCTTAAGTCTTGTTTTTTTTTTAATCATTATCAGTAATCATTATAAGTTATAATAATAATTACTTACTATTTTTGTATTGTGTGACGCTCATTGTACCATCTGTGGAATTAAATTTGGGGGAAAATGAGATAGAGACTCTGGGTTACAAATGTGGCCTAGATAAAATTACACATAGAGAGCTGTCAGTATATGCTAGATTCTAGAAATTATTTTGACATTGCTTTATAATGCCAGTTCATCAGTGAAACAAAAATTCCAAATTGCCTCATATATTTACTATTCAGTCAGATTCTCACCCAACTTGAATCAATCACACACACACACACACATATATAAAAAAAAATAAGAACTTAAAAATGTTTCCAATTTTGTGGTAGCTAGTGAACAAATTCAGTATGGACAATCATTTTTTCCATATATCTTGTTCAGTAAAAATTGAATTAGGAAGAGGAAAGCAATTATAAAAAAAAACTACTGAAATATAGACGTTTCATGGGTACTGTTTTGACTTTATTAATTTTTTTTACTCAAGCCAAGACTTGTTAATTTGTCATATTTCCAAATATATATATATATATATATATATATATATATATATATATACACACACACACACACACACACACAACTATGACATCAAACATTTCTCATTTCATAAATTTGTTCACTTTTTTTAGATAATGTCTAGTGTGCTGAACATGACTAAAAGCATGATCAATATCTATTTTTTTACTCTAGTGCAAACCAAACCTATATCCACCTTTTTCAAGATTTATTGTGACTTTTGTCCTGTGAGATTTATATTTGGCAATAAATAATCCAACAAGGGTTGAAATGTTGTTAAACACACTAACTAATCTAGCCGCCTCTTCCTTTTACTGCAGTTTGTATACCTGGAGAAGGCTATAGAATGGATTAGTTGAAACACTGATAAAAACACTTAAAAAAAAAAAAGAATTAATTTAATAGTCTGAACAACAACTGGAATGATATTTACTCAGCCTGGCATAAGACTGCAGTAATGATGCACCTATGGATGTGCAGATAGTGTAATGGTTAGCAGTTTGGTATGGGAAATCAGCAAACCAAATTCAGATTCCAGTTGAGTTTGTTACATTTACTTTCACATAAATGTCATTGGGAAAGGTAATGAATCAATCTTTTCTCTCCTAGCTATAGATTAAATAGTAGGACAGGCTGGGCTCTTTGGCCTTATTTGGCAATCAGTTTAAAAGACATCTCTGAATTGAAAACTGTTTGGGTATGGGGTTAGCAACTCCATCCTATAAAACCTACTCTTTAATGAAACCTCAGCAACAACACCTAGTATGTTGAGAGCTATGGCTCTATACTCCTCAGGGAAGTCTACAGGACTTTAGTGAGGATGACATCCCTTTGAGACTGCTGATGATCATTTTATAGCATATGTTCCTCACCAGTCTTTCTTGTTTTTTCGATTGAGTAAGTACATATATGTTCTAGATTATTATACATACGTTATACATTTATTTTCTTTTTTATTTTGTAAAACAATACACACTTCTGCTAAAATGTTTGTGTGATAGCTGATGTCATTGCATATGTCTTACTAGTGTCAGTGGTTGATGTTCAAACCGTGGTTAAAACTTTAATTTATATCCAGCTAGGCTAAGCTTAGTAAATATCTTTATACATATCTGCTAATGTAATCATACCAAATCTATCCAAATTAGGTGTCTAGACAAAGGTAACAGGAGTTAAAATATCATGACAAATATTCTTAAAATCTCTTTATTTAAAAAAAAATAAAGGGTCCTATTTCATAGTTCTAACAATGTTTTTTGAGCTTAGAAAACATTGGTTAAAACCTTCAAGTGTCATGTGACTGCAGAATGTAGATAATCAGCTTCCTTTTGCTTTTAATATCTGTAATGTGTGCATTGACATAGTTGTTCTGAGGAAAGATAGTGAAGTTGTTCCTCATTGCTTTCTCCATAGTTTTGAATCCTTCTAGACAGAATGAAAAATAAAACTTAGAGTGTCTAGTCTGTCCTGCTATTTAACCCATGGCTGGGGATAGAAGGGATGTTTTCATACCTTTCCCAGGGGCATCAGTGCTAATATAAAGTGTATCTTAACTAAAATATTGAGTTTGGCTCTCCAATTCAATTTTCTGTGTTTGTCAACTGCATCTCATTATCTGTCTTTTAAAAGGAAAGTTGTGCTTCATATTTCTTGAATCTATTGTTTTGGAGTTTGCCTATAAATGGAATTGTATTTTTCTTAATTTATAAAAAAATATGTTAGTGGGTTTTTATTTCTTTAATTTTTTAAAATTTTAATTTTCCATTTTTATCTGTAGATGTTCCTCCCTGTACTAAGATGTGTTATATTTGGGTAAGAATTGGAAACTAATCATGGCTTGCCAAAAGTAAGTATCAGCATTTAAGATATTTCTTTCCTTAAATATAAACAGTTGATACTCATTTAGTTTGTTTGATTCAATACTGACTTTCTTTTACTGTATCACTACACTACACTATATTCAATTTACAATCAATGATTTCCTATAGAACAATGTTAAAAATAATTTACCTAAGAATAAGCATGATTTGCAATAGAAATACATTGAGGACAATTTACTTAAGCGATGTATTAAAATAACTGAGAAAGTTTGAAAAATAATTTATTATATGTAATGGACGTGGCCTATCTCCCCAACGAAAGAGGCACAAAATTGCCTGTACCGTACATTGTCATGTAAATTACTTGTGCCTTAGGACTAATTAAATGCCTCTAGGTGGGCATGAAAAAAATTATATAAGTGACTGAGATATACATAAAAGCAGGTAGATTTTGTCTTGATGGAGTGGAGAAGGATAAGGCCAGTGAGGGAAGAATACATTTGAGGACAAAAGCATACAAACTAGTTTCATAGCTGATGGTCAAGAGTTTGATCTTTACTGAGTGCCTGACTATTGTGGTTTTGTGCCATATTAAACAGCATTTAATAAATATTTATTGGCACCTGATGTAGAACAAAGTCATCTTAGTTTGTTGTGTGTACTTGCAATTGAGCAATGGTTAGCAAGCTGTTTTAAAAGCCAAGGCAGTTGAGTTTAGCTCTTCATAATTCCTTTTGCTACATTGTGTTCTCTTGTGTAAATGATAAATACCCACACATACACACATGTCTATAAATTTATATGCATCAGGACAATGCTGGGTAATTGAATGACAATATAGAAAAATTATGTGTGATGTGTTTCATTCTTTAATGTTTGATGAAGTCCTTTTAAAGTACAAAATGCATTACATATAATTTTTCCATTTTGTCATTTAATTACCTAACGTATATGTGAACTCACATGTTGCAAATTTACTAAAATAGGTCAAGACCAACTTTTCAATATCCAGGTCCCTTAGGTTTGGCAGAAAAATTGATGAACCTGAAGGTGGGTACGACTTTTTGCAAAAACCAAAGCAAAGTTACACATGAACAAAAATTTGCCTTCATGCAAGAAATAAGATAGTGTGGTTTTAGTCCTGAAATACCATGAAAAAACTATTCAAAAAGCCCGTTTTTCAGCTGTCATTCCCTGGTTTTTTATGTGATGCTTTCCAAATTTACGGTGTAAATTACACATGACACACAAATTGTCTTGCATGAATGTTTAGTTTAGATTATTTCAGTTAAGTGAATGAAATCTGTGACAAACTAGATCCAAAATTGGCTTTTACCACTTAGCCAATAGTTTCATCATATGATTCCATCCTAAATTGGCATTTGAACAACCTTTGATGCAAAGAGTGTTTGAGAAGGTTTATTGAAGCATTAAAAGGAAAAAATTCCTGAAGAACCTCTTATTAACCCCAGTTTTACAGTAAACATGCAAAGGACAAGGGGGGCATTCATGTGTTTGCACTTGCAGTTGAATCAGACTCTGACGCTTCATCCTTGATTTTGTTTGATTATTAGAATTGTAAACAATGTCATACTATTTGAATTTTATTACAGCCATAGAAAATTTACTGAATATCTAAAACATTGAAACAATTTAACTTCAAGCAATGAACACACAAGTAGGTTTTATCAATGGAATTCCTTTATTAAGAACAATCAAACACTTGCGAAGGACATACAGTAAAAAAAATGAGGGCAGAGAATAGTTTAGCATACCAATGTATGATGCATGCAAGTGGAGAGGAAGGCAGACATTTTGAGACGGGGGTGGGGCAGGTATACAGCAGGGGTGTGGTTATACAATAGCAGCCATGTACACCCAGGCACCTTGACTAGTGTAAATATAAAAGTGGACATTGAGGTCAGCACCAAGCTGCAATAGTCTGTTTCATGCTTTAACACAATCTTCAGGCCTGAAGATTCTGTTGAATGAAACATACCATTGCAGCTTAGTGTTGACCTGAGTATGCAAACAATACATATTTACAAAGGAAACAAATATATGGTGGTATGTCTCCGACCGTTATAAGCTATATGAATACTTTTGATCTCTCCTCATTATTTGTGTTATTTATGTTGTTTCTTAATGTTAATACATGAGCCAATCATATTTGAATTGCCTTCTTATTTTAGCTATCTTGTTTAGTATATATATTTCACAATTGTATGTGACAGGAATGGAAAATTTTATAAATTTTGTTTTTTTTCTTTTCTTATGTTCTTACAGTTTTTCTTTTGGGGAGGTTAAACAAGCAAATGCCTGCCCCCATTACAAAAATTCTTGTTGATAATATCATCATTCTGAATAAATCCAATTGTCAATGACATGATAATGGATTCTCTTTATATAAAACAATTCAAGCCAAGCTTCAACCTTACCTTATTTGACAATGGCAGTAATGTGTCCAGTGCAGAGGTTTGGTGATGCCTGGGGCCAACTCCTCGATTGTATGCCCCTAAGGCTCAAGTAGGTAGCCTAGTACTGAGAAATATGAGAAAGGAAGACATTTTAAATATGTAAAAACAGATTAAACATGAAACAAACACTTTATTCAAATTAAATATAAATTAAATTTTTATTTCACTCTTTGAGTGAATGCACTCTCGACATGGATACCTAGGGCTGTCACTCCCTCTTTCCCCTACTTTCTGCACACTACTGAATATGTTGGCAGCCTTTTAAAAGACACTCTAACATGGAATCAATCATAACCACATTTCTTCTTGAACATTTAAAATTTTTATGACTTCCATGCAATACAGCTTAGAACACATACATAAAAAACATTAACAACAAACACCTTGAAAATAGCTAATGAATTGACCAAAAGTGCTTGGGACAATAATCATTATAGACAGTTTTGCATTCTCTTAACCACCCACCTTCCCCAAAGGAAAACTGTAAGAACGTTAGAAAAACCTAAATAAAAAAATTATGAGATTTTCCTTATCTGTTACATTCAATGAAACATGTTTATAAAAAAGGTTGTTGCCTATATATATATATATATATATTTTTATATATATATAGTTTAATGGATATGATTTTGTGACCCTTTGTTTCATCAATTCAACTAAATATGTTAGCTCAAATATGTTATATCCATTCAACTAAATATGTTAGCTCTATCACTGATATTGAATGCTTTCCAATAAGCACTGCACATATATATATATATATATATATATATATATATATATATATATATATTTGTTCATGCTTCTAGCTTTTTATAGGTTAAAAGTAATATTATGATATAAAAAAGCTGTTGGTTATAATGATTATGTATTACTACTGGCCAGAAAGTGCTTATAAAGATTTTGATAACTACCAGGTGGGAAAAACATGAAGTGATTGTCAAGAAGGAAATGACAGTCTCTCATTCCCACAGTAAGGCGTAGTGAGGGTGGGGATTCTCTTCACCATGTTGGAAAAATAAAAAAAAAAACGTCTGTATGAAAATTCTCAAGAAAATATTGTGTTTCCAGCAAAGTATTTAATGATAAGTCCTTTCATAAGATAATAATTTAAAGAGCACTTTGAAATTTATGTCAAGCCAGCAAGATTGCAGTATCTCAACCCCAACAACATAGAAAATATGTGAACTGGCTTAAGGCAAGGTGCACTCTATAGAAAACCTGCAAATAAAGAACAATGGTTAAAATTAACATAATTTTATAAAAATCTGGTTGTAGATTAAGAGAATCATTTAGTGGCAGCAAAGTCAACAGAATGACATGTAACCAAATATCAGTTAGCTATGTAGTTGTATATTGGTTTTGGAATTAGAAGGTTTTATTAAACTTTTATTTGACACCATGAAAAATGTAATGCCTTGTAGTCCAATATAAGCTAAGGTGACTGATACTGTTCACTCCTATTTTGAGTAGGCCAGACATTGATCTATTTTTAGCTGTTAATAATTCAAATACCCTTTTTTTACATTCTCTCACTGCATGTTTACGTCATTGCTGCTGCTGCTGCTGCCTTTAACACTTTTTCACATGCAAACAATACATATTTACAAAGGAAACAAATATATGGTGGTATGTCTCCGACCGTTATAAGCTATATGAATACTTTTGATCTCTCCTCATTATTTGTGTTATTTATGTTGTTTCTTAATGTTAATACATGAGCCAATCATATTTGAATTGCCTTCTTATTTTAGCTATCTTGTTTAGTATATATATTTCACAGAAGTATACAACCTGTAAGTAAAATTGAAAATTATGGCTCTGTATGTAAAATTGATTTCAGCTGTATATGAATAGATTATATTGATTTTTAAATTCCAGTTTTTTATGAATATTTATTCAGTTTAGTCTGACACAAGGTCTTAGGAGTGGAACACCAAATTAAGCACATGATAATCTTTGATAATCTTGCAAAATATTTCCTTAGCAGAAACTTCAGACACAGTTTTGCATTAGGTTCCCCTTGGACCTGTGTAATGATCAAATTTGGTTGTCCATACATTCAGCAACTTCAAAATAATCTCAACATTTGTTTATGTTCTTTATTTCTTTTGTTTCAGACAAGAGTCAATAAAGAAATTTCTTCGTGTTCGGCTTGATCGACGTAAGTAGACATGTTAAATTCATTTTACTTTCTTACAGGAACACTTGTCCTTAAAGATTTTTTTCCATTTCATTCTTTAAATGATATTATACTGCAAAATAATTTCTTGTTAAACATTCTTAACAAACATCGTATTTAAAGTTGTATCTACCCTTTAAAAATATCTCTTACTTTCTGGCAACAAAATGTATTTTAGAAGATTAGATTAATTAAATATTATTCAAAAGTAATCATCCTTCTATTTGGTTTCCTTGCCTTCTGATTAGGTTTGGTTAATTTCCAATTAGGTTTATCTCGTCATCAGCAATAATTGTCAAAGTATCATACTGGATTGTCATGGTCTTGTCCTTCATGGCATTTCAGTGGAAGCACTCATTTTCTCTCTAAATATCATATAGATTTTGCTAAATCACATAGTTGGAAAGAATCCTTTATCTGATTGAGTAGTCATCAGGTAAGTGGAATACTCAGATACATGCTTAACGCTGTTTTTGCTGCAGTTATAAAATGCAAGTGGCAAGAACATGGTCAAGATGGCTGACAGTGTCTAGGAATTGTTGGATACATACTTTTCTCTAGGTGTGAAAATACCATATTTGATGGTTATAAATGTCGACAGATAACTCTCCACACTTCATTTCAACAGGAAATATTAAGAAAGAAATTGTAGGATGGTACATTAGATGTTATTGAAACCTCATCCAGTTCACAAGTTTCTTTTTGTGCATTTATTACATATTCATGAAATAGTTATCTGCAAGAAAAAGTTGGTCTGATATGCTGTCAGATGGTGTAGAAACAGTCTTGATTGGTTTGCTGATTTTGTTTTTCAAGCTTGTTAATTTTAACACTTTCAAAACTAAATCAGTCACCTTTAATTGTCTAAGAGAACCTTTTTTTTTCCATCCATCAGCATGGCTGATGCTAACCTCCAGGAAAGTAACTCATTACGCCTTCAATTATATTGAATCAGTTGTTAGGTCTGCTGCTCGGAAAGTTTGTTCATTGTATTGTGCTAGGCAATTTTTCTTGCCAGAAAATATCTTACACCTTTATAAGTCTACCATTTGTCTGTGCATTGAATATTGCTGCCACATCTGGCCCATTGCTTCTGCTATGTATCTAGGGGTTCTTGACAGAAACCAAAGAAGAATCAGCAGTGTCATCAGTCCTGATATGACATCTCATCTTCAGTTGCCTTCCCTCCACCATAACATAGTTTCCTTGTGCCTTTCTAGAAATAATTTCATAGCAATTGTTCTGATGCATTTTCCTCTTTGATACCTTAACATCATGATTGAAGGACAATAATAGATTGGCAGGTCGGTCTCATCATTTTACTGTCAAAATTGCTAAGTGTGATCATAATGGTTTCTTATTTTGCACTTCTTGCTTATGGAACTCTCTTTTAGCTTCTTGCTTTCTTGTCAACTATGATCTTCAAAAATTTAAATGCATTGTAAGTCATCATATTCTGTCTCCTTGAATTCTAATATTTTATTGTCCTCTCTCTCTTCAATAACATTTTCTCAGTTTCTTTCACTCTCAGTAAGCCTTTGCATCTTAGTGTTTTATTGCCTTGCTTGGATTGAAATGATTTTAAAAAAACTGATAACCACTTAATTTGCATGGTGAATTTGTCCACTTTATGTATTTCATTTCTTTTCAGTTATTATTTACTCTTGCAGCTAGTTTATTGTCAGCTAATGGCAGCAGATCTAAGGAAATGGAAATCAGATTGTCATGGTTCAAAAAACATTTCTGATACACAATGTCATTAATATCTTTAAAAAAAGGAAAGTAAAAGTAAACAACTTGTTGTATCCTATTGGGCACTTGTAGGTCCATGATGAAGTAGATTATCAGCCTATTATTGCTTTCACTCTTACTTATTTTATTTCGTTTCTGTCTGTCCATCTCTCTGTCTCTCTTCTCTCTCCTACTTTTTTCTTCATCTTCTCCCATCCCATGAACAACAGGTGAAGCAATCTTGCCTCGATCAACTAACAGCACAACAGTACAGAGAGACAAAGTTATAACAACCTGCTCTCCGAGTGCCAAGGATACGACACTCAGTGTTGTTTGCAGCACAACAGGTAGGTATTGTGAACAAGCTGAGTCCTGCCCTCCTATGTTGTTACTGCATGGGCATGTCTTCAGTGGGACCTTGGAAACTCATCTTTGGTGCATTTGCATGTGCAGTTCTGTTTATTAATGTTATTGTTTTTACATACTTATTTTGTGTTTCTCTGTGATTTATTTATGTATAGATGTGTTAGATAAAAGGCTGCAGACAAAGAATATTGATTTTTTGTTGTTTTTTAATTTTTATATGTAACCCTTCCTATTTTTATATGGAGGCCATTCTTATGTAAAGTATGTGACCTAAGACCTTTTTTTATGTAATGTATGCTACCTAAGAAAGTATTGACTCAAAAAATGAGTCAGTTATTAATATATGAAATTTGATGATTGCTTTCCAAAATTATGATCACTTGGAATACTAAAACATTCTGTATGGTTTTAGTGGCATCACAAACAATTGTGCCATGGGAGACCACAGAAATGAAAATTCTGTCTTCATGAACATAGGTCAGTGTTTGTAAGGATTGTCCAAGAATTTTTGATCAACCACTTTCAGCTATTCATTTAGACATTATCAAAATCAAAGTCCTTAATGCTTAGAGGGCAAAATACATGATTATTGATGTTTTTAAATTTTTTAAATGTCAGTTTGTGTAATATGAATATATCACATACAAGGTAATGTGAAAGTAAGGCTCTTTGACCAGAATATACAGTCAATATATCAATGCATTCAAAGTCACAATACCTTGATTGAAAATCTTATTCACTTCTTCCTCAGCCATTAAGGACTTTCTTCTTGATCATTGATAAATGAATAACAACATGTACTTGTTCAATAACTTTTGGATAGTTTTTATATACAATAATCAATGTTATACACCCACTCATGATAAAAACGACAAAGGTTAGAAAAAAAAAAAAAAAAAAATTCTCTGTATGTGGCATTTAATCAAACATGTATAAATGAAGGATTGTTGCCTAAGTGTATGTATCCCCCTCAACATATATATATCCTTTAAACATAGCATATTTAGGTAAAAAATCCTTCATTTAAACATGTTTTTTTTTTTAAATAGAATGGACAAGAAATTAAGCCTTTTGGTAAGTTTCTCTTGGAGTTGAACAAATTTGATGTCATGCAGAAACTTGCTGGAATTGTGTGTAATGCTCCATGTACTTTCAATCATCTTTTCTCATTTTCAAGGAAAGAAGATAAGAGTCAAGAGATAACCAGTAAATAATGAATGGATTTTGAAATGAGCACGTGTTCACATGCTATTGGGGAAAAAATAGATTTTAGTATCATGTTACCAAAATGACCTTACAGTTCAAAGATATTTTAACATATGCACACCAAACTTGAGACAAATTTTATTGATGCTTGGTTGCTGTCATTTGATGTGAAGCACCTCCAAAATTTGTAATCATTTTATTACAGTTGGATTAGTAGAGTGCTTATGTATTGTTGACCATAGTCTGATTGCAATTAGGAGCGGTATTATGAATTTTTTTTTTAAATATTTATATATGACCTTTGCTCAGAGAGATGACGGGTCAATCTTCTCAAGAGAAATATTATGGTGTAACTAATATCTTTTTTTAATTACTAACAGAAACAGTCTTTCAAGAGAATTGGTATACAATATTTGTCTTTTGCTAAGTGTTTTTTGTGGAGAAGTGTTGAAATAACCACAAGGTTGAAAGTTTTTAATTTTTTCTAGTATATTATGAATCTTAGGGAATTTTTACTCTTTACGGGAGTTATATAACTATAAAGCATATTGTTTATTGCTTTTCTGTCTTTTATCTAAAGTAAAACATGTTAATAGTATTTTTGTTATGATTTAAAGTGGATTTATGTATGTCACTGATTACTTGTCCATAATTATTTAATTTGCTCATTGAAGATGTGATTAGGAAAACCATTAATGCTTGTTTAATATTTGCTAATCATAGAAAATTGTAATGAAAGAGATTAATTTAGCATGGTTGATAAGGTGTTTTTATGATTACTATCTTGTATTGCTAAGAGCATATTCTTTGATAGGTATGGATGCAGGAATTAATACAGTTGTTTTTTGTTTTTATTAAAGTGATAAATTTCTAATTATTATTATTATAACGGGCACCTCAAGAAAAGGAATTTTGTTTTTTTGAGTTTGTATGTTTAACTAAAGAAATGTTTTGTTATAAAATATGGCAAGGATGTGTTGAGTTTGGGAGAAACACCTAACTAATTGCTCTGCCGAGAATTGTGGGGTAACAGGCAAACTTGAGGAACAAACTGTCCAAGGGAATGACATCACAAGACACCGAGTCTCACCAACTCTCCACTGCTGACAGCTGGTTTTCCCATCACTTTTATTGACATGAGACAGTTGACCGAAGTCCAGATTTAGACAAGTTGCAGAGAGGTCCATATCTGGACATGCCAAGCTGTTCTGCTACTAACCTAACAGGGGAAACCTGAATCTAACTGGTTTTGACAGACATGTCTGCCAACCATTCAGAGCCTCTTTTACATCTGTACTGACATGCGTTTGACACATGTTTGCTTTAGTTTTTTTTGTTTTTTTTTATGTGATCGAGGTCTTTGCAATAAGACTTATGATGTAGATGTACTGGACATATATACTGGGTTTATCCGTTAAAAAATTTATTGTGTGCGATATAATAATTAGATGAAGAAGATCCTAGGGCTGATCCCATGTTTACATCATCAATTTGTGTGCATATATTTTCTACATTTCCATGGAAGCAGACTTGTGTAGTGCATGCTAACATTAGTTTTCATATAATGTTAGGTTTGATTTTAAGAATCAGGATAGTTGAACAGTTATAAATATTTTGCATAATTTATGTCAATCATTAATGGGGAACATTTGTAAACAGGTTTTCAACATCAGCTTAAA